ATATATAAATAATATAAAAAGCTGATTCTGAGAATATGTACCTGTACAAATGACAATAAATCTAATGTAATCCACAATACTTTGTTTTCAGGCCGGCAAAACTTGTCACAGATATTGACGAGTATATTAATACGTATACTTATTAATTCATGTATTCTGTGCAGTATTTTCAGAACATATTTATAAAAACAAAGACATTTGCTGTATTGTTCTGTGTTTTGACCGGAACTTGTTTGACGCTGTCGTTTGTTTTCCCTCCTCAGCTTCACAATGCAGCCAACGCCAACCAGAAGGAGAAATATGAAGCAGACCTCAAGAAGGAGATTAAAAAGCTTCAGGTAAACACAGAGAGATCGGTCAACACCGGCTGTGGAAAGAGTTCTCAACATTAGCCCGTCAGCAAGTGAGACAGAAACAGCCAGATGTTGATGTGTTTCAGGTTTGGTCTCTGAAAGAGGATGAAAGGACATTGATTGTTTGCTGAGCTGATACTGTTTAACTTGCCTAGGTGTGTTAGTGTGTGTGTGTGTGTGTGTGTGTGTGTGTGTGTGTGTGTGTGTGTGTGTGTGTTACCATGAGGACCAAACTCCAAGCCAAGCCTGTTTGCTGCGTATACAACACTCAAGTTCACCATCCATGACTGTTGAGGACGAGTCTCTGCATGCTTTCACTGATGCATCTCTCCCTCCCCCTCTTCTTCTTCTTCTTCTCCTTCTTCTTCTTCTTCAGCGTCTTCGAGACCAGATCAAGACGTGGGTTGCATCCAACGAGATCAAAGACAAAAGGCAGCTAGTAGAGAACCGCAAACTCATAGAAACGGTGAGTAGGACCCGTCGCGGTGGTTACAACAGTGACTCTGGAGGATGGTGTTTGTTCTGAACTCTGGAAGTCTTCAAAAGGCTTTTAAAAAATTGGATTTGACAAAGTCCACGTCTTTCTAGATGATGATGAATGACTTATGGCTCGTGTAGGGAGATTACAAAGCTCTTTAAGTGACATATCGGGTAATAAGTTACGAGTTTACCTTCATTTATCTGCAAATATTGGACTTTCAGGAGTGAATGTAGCTACCAGGAGATCCTGATGGAAGCATCACAATCTACCGAGTGTTTACACCGAGATGTAGGACGTCACTGTGACAGTTCAGGGCCCGACTACAGGTCGGCTGTGAAGAGGCTCTAACGTCCTAGTTCTGCTCTGCTGAGTGGGCTTCTAATGGCTCCTCTGGTGCCAGACTTCCATTCATTGTTGCCAAGTTCTCCCAATTTACAGCTCCGTCATTGTTAAGATTATTTAAGAACAGAAGAATTAACAAAAAATGGGGATTTCCTCTGTCTTTTGTAGTGTAAAACAACCTGTGGTGTGTTTCCTGCTTGTAGAATATTATTTATAGTATATTGATCAACAAGTAGAGCTTTATTTTAAACATGCTGTGCTTGTCTCTTGGTCTTTGTGTGTCTGTCTGTCTGCAGCAAATGGAGCGGTTCAAAATAGTGGAGAGAGAAACCAAGACGAAGGCGTACTCTAAAGAAGGGCTGGGTCTGGCCCAGAAGGTGGACCCGGCCCAGAAGGAGAAGGAGGAGGTCGGCACGTGGCTGACGGTGAGTAACGTTGTCTCAAAATGTTCCTCAATACAAGTCGACTCTGGCCCACGCTCGCCGTTAATTTGTCTGCTGATGGGAACGTTTGTTATATTTTGTTTTTAAACTAAATCTGGAACTGAAAGTGGGAATAAAAGTGGAACCGAAAGCAAAATGAAGAGAAACTAACGTCTCGACTTTCAGAAAAACCCTCATTAACCAGCAGCCGCTGACATTAACACATCAGAGAGTAAGAGAGGACTTATATTTAGATGATGAAATGTTGGAATATAATGAAAAGTCTTCAAATCGCTTATTTTTGTCCAAAACTCTGAGATTTTCGGTTCACGTGAGATAAAGAAAAACGATTTTAAATGAGAAGTCGAACAGCTCCTCGTCACACGGTTAACCGTTTGTTCCTCTCTCTCTCCTCCAGAACACGATCGACACGTTGAACATGCAGGTGGACCAGTTTGAGAGCGAAGTGGAGTCTCTCTCAGTCCAGACGAGGAAAAAGAAAGGAGACAAAGAGGTCGGTCTGTCCTCACCCTCTCATCCATTCACTCTGTCTTTAATCCTCCTTCCTGGTATTTGCTCTCTTGTTGGTCCTCAGATAGTGTTTCCTACATGTATCTCCTGACGAGGATAACCTTCTTTCACTACTTCTCTCCTCTAAAGTCCTCTACGGGGCCTTTTTTATAGAAAAACGTTTCTTCTCCAACTGCTCCCTTGACGGGCACTGTTTTGCACGTCAACATATTTTATGAATGAGGTTTTCTTTCTGTATTCCAGAGGAGTTGCTGGACTCCTGCTGACGGGGCGCTTCTGATCTCTGCACCGTTAAACACCATTAGTTGGTCAGTTAGACTCGGTGGATGGAAAGGCTTGTTGCTAAAAAATAAAAAGTCCAACAGCAGCGAGAACTAAATCTTTAAAGCTGAAGTTTGTTTTGTTTTGTCTTTAAGTTCCAGGTGTTTGAAAAGATCCGAACAAAAGCATTTCATCCTGCATGAGACGGTTAATTCAGCGCGGTTCTCTCCTCATTCCTCAGCACTTAAAGTTTAAATGTACCCTCATAGATCCTTTATGCACTCAGCATCCCGCACATTACGATCCATTGTGATGAAACGCATTAGTATGGTCCTCCCTGCGTTATAATCACATCAGTTCAGCCGGTGACCCCGTGTCGCTCTTGTTTGTTCTCTTTATCCAGATATCTCTGAGAAGAACACAGTTCGACCCTCAAACACAGGAAACAACACGCATGACATTTAAAGTGCTTCGGAGCATTAATTAAATATTGAAATCAGAAGTGGTGCTGTGCCTGTTGTATGATGCATAACGTCATGAAGTGCACATGTAGCCTTTCACTCCTGCACTGTATGTTTAACTTTAAAATTTTAATAAGTTTCTCATAAACCAGTTTTTTCAATGAATAATTGATTTAAATTAGTTTGTGCTTTGTATTGGAACAAGGTGGCGTACATCCCCTCCAGCATGTTAAATATGAACATTTTTACACCAAATAGTCCAATAAAAACGTGTTTGTGCCGTAAATGTAATAACATCTGAACTCGCTACATTACAGCTGTTGTTTCATCATTTCATCTGCTAAAAAAATAATAACTCACACCACAATCATCTTCCCCCCACACTCCACCCCCCCCCCACCCCCCCACCCCCCATCCC